TATATATATATATATGTTTAATATTGATTATAAATAATTATTTATATTCTTTTGAATTATTGTATTTATTGGATATTGTTCTTACTCCTCTCTTTTCTTTGTTTTTTTAAATTAAATATATTATAAAATAGATGGATCTACTTGGGATTCCAGAGCATTTTACAGTGATTATAGCTGTTGTCTTTCTTGGAAGAAATTGGAATGTGGAGGCTATTTGATGAATCTATTATAATTGTTATTGTAAATTTATTTCTATTATCAATGTAAAGTTTGTAATAAAAGTGAAAGAAAGAAATATTGTGTATAATAATACATTATTATAAATACTTTAGAACGATATGTTATGTATTAAATTCACAAAATATTCTGTTTCTTTATCTTTATCCATAAAAAAATATTGTTAACGATATATTTGCGAAAATATTATATAAGAAATATATAATTATTATTATATAAATTGGGCGATAGAATCAGGCGTTACAGAAGACCTCAAGAAAACGATTGGACTTGAAGATGGAGATTAATCTAATGAGTTCGGTGTGTCCTCTTTTGTAAGACTTCGTCTTAGTTTCTTGGAACCATAATATGTGTGTGTATGTTTGGGGATCCTTTCTAAGAGATAGAAAGAGCGTAAGAGTAAAGTGCTAAGTGTGAGCATGAAAGAGTGAGAACATACGTGTTAAAACAATGAAAAAGATATGTAAAGAGGAAAAGAGAGCCTGTTAAAGATTAAGAGATTTTTTAGAAGAGTAAGAGATAGTTCTATTATAAAGACAATCTTATTTTCAAAAAATTAAATTTGTTTTCTCTTGTGAATGTAAGTCAAATTGGCTGAACCATATAAACTCGTTGTGTTTTCTTATTTTAATTTTTTTCATTTGTTAATGCAGTTTTTTTTGCACTTACGTTGTATTTCTCATTTCTACCTTTTTTAATTTTTTCTTCCATAGGGTCTCTTCTTATTTGCTTTCTTTCTTGTTTTAGAACCAACAACTAACTTTTTTCAAATATACATTTAGACAATTGTGTAGGATAGTCTTGTTCAAGCACTATTTTGTGAAAAATTTCACCCAAATATTCACTCTTAAGAAAGTAATATTAAATGCACCTGAGTCATACAATAATATCCTCTCAAATCCTCTTCTCCAAAACATGTTTTATTTTTATTTAAATTCTCTGATAATTCCTCCCCTTCATCTTCATTTTTACTAAATCATCTCTCTTAAACACACAATAAAAGTTATTTGTCAACATTCATCACTTGTATCAATTCATAATATATAAACATCATTTATACTTTTTAAAATTACAATTATGACATCAATGTTTAAATCTAGGATTATGTGCATACTACATCATTTATCCTTAAAAAATGATATATTATTTACCAAAATATAGTCAACAACAAACTCAATAAAATGACATAATGGTTAGATGAGTCGTGCTATCACATTATAAAGACAATCATTTTTTTTTTAAAGAAGAAAAAAACCTCACATATTCGACCCTTTCCAAACCTTCTGTGTACACAAGTTCTTCGAATCAGAAAAAAATTGCTGGTACAACAAACCAAATTAGTGTTTGAACTTTGAAGAGTGAACCGAAATATATATATATAAAACAAAGTAAACGAGGGAGAGGGACCCCACCACGTCCTTTGTTCTTTGTTTGAGAACTATGTATTTATAATTTATGCACGACGCTTTCAATTCAATTCTTCTAATTTTTCCACTTTACTCTTTCTTCTCTCGTCTTCATCACTTTCTTTACGAGAAGATGGAAATAGCATGGAACTCTCATGGCCTTGAAGTGGCATACATGGTTTTAGGATGGGTTGCTTTCGTTCTTTGGTCTTGCAGTTTCTACCCTCAATTTCTCTTGAACTTCTCCAGAAAAAGGTATCAACAAATTAATTATTATTTATTAATTTAGTTATTTATTTTAATTTTAGTCCAATATTAATAAGAGTTTTAATTATTTAATTGAAGCGTGGTGGGTTTGAATTTCAACTACTTGCTGATGAACAACACAAAGCACACGTTGTACCTTATCTACAATGCTTCCTTGTACTTCAGTCCCCTTGTTCAGTTTCAGTATCATCAAAAATATGGCTTTCACCAGGTTCTTTTTTCACTTCTCCACTCTTCAATACCATCATTCGGTGTCTCTTTGCCATTTTCAGTGGGTTTTGAAGGTTGAAACTAGAATTGATCCAACTTGCTGTGAATGCAAAATACTATGTTGTATTATTATTATTATTATTATTATTATTATGCATAATCTGACCCTGATTTGTTTTCTTCTCACGAGTCATGATTCACAAAAACAATTGTTATTATTATCCATTCTGACAAAAGTGGAAATACAATAACAGGGTCTATCCATACTTAGAAAAAGAAAAATTATATAGTACATATGAGATATTTCTGAAAGAAAAGAAAAGAAAAGAAAAAACTAAAAGAAAATGGTAGAGGACAGGAAGCTACGGTAAAAGATAATAGAAATAAATTAATTAAAAAAATTAGCCTTAAATAAGAGTGAATACTAAAAGGGCTAAATAAAATGTGTATTATAAAAGTTAAATATTTATTATATGAAGGTGTGACAAAGAGACATATCTTTATATATAAATAAATTTTATAGTGTCTCTTTATAGTTTATTTTTTTTTATAGGTTTTGAGAGAAAAATAATTGAGATTTGAAAAACAGGGACAAAAAGAAACTTGTGTTGTATGCAGTTACATAAATCCTTATTTTAATTTGGAACTTATTAGTTAGCAATCAGGTTACATTTCTAACTCTGGAAAAATTAAAAGTTACATTTCTAACTAATAGAAATGAGGGAGTAGTTACATTTTTAGTGTAAAGATTTCTTTTCTCTATTTTATCTTTTAATTCATTCTTTGAAAGAAGGAAATTGTATAATAATGAACAAAAACGTTCAAGAAAAAGATATATCCTTTTTATTTATAGTTTAGATTATAGATAGCTAAAACTTATAATAAATTATTTATGTCAAAAAATATTATAATAAATTATATATAGATAAATATTATATGTAAATTTTGTTTAAATGGATATTTTAAATTTATAATAAATAAATTATATTATGCGACAGAAGTTTAATTTAATAATTACTATTTTTAAAATATTAAAATTTAATTTAAAAATAAATGGGATAAATACAAATTGAAATAAATAAAAAATTTTAAAAATTCTTTCATTAAAAAAAATTATAAAAAAATTAATATCTTAAAACATAATATAGAGTGAGCATTTTAAAGTGAATAAAAATTGTTTTAAATTTTAGTGGCAAGACTAAGTTTACTTTAAAATATATAAAATTGTAGATAATTTGAACAATTTAATTTATATGTGCTGATTTGTTTAAAGAATGCTAACTTTTAAAATAACTATGATAGTTTTGACTTTTGAATAATTTTATAAAAGTCAACAAAATTATTATATATGAATTTTTAATTAATTGATAATATAAATAGAATCTATTTAAATAAATTTATTTATAAACACTTATATGAGAAAAAAATAAAAAATAAAAAAGAATATATATATATATATGAGAAAATTAATTGATATATTAGTTAATTTGTATAAGTTCATATTAGTTTATTCAAAAAAAATATTTTAATTTGTTTAGAAGTTAATTTTAACTATTTTTTATAATATTTTTTCTTTCGTAAGCATTTATAAAATAATTTATTCAATAGGTTTATTTTTGAAAAATGAAAGGAAAATTGTATTCGAAACTCTTAAAATACATTTTTGGGACCAACATTGATTAATGCAAGTAGTAGTGACTTGTATTCTTTAAAAATTTGAATCTTGACCTTAGGAATGAAATAAATTATGTTGAGAATGGAATATCCATCTTGTATATGCTTAAGGTCTCCATAGATTAATTACTGTTTTCAATGATAAATATTTTTTATGAATATAATAATTAAAAAATACATTTTTGAAAATAAAAAATTAATAAATTCTTGTGATACTTTTATTGTTTTTTTTTTTTTTTTAGGAATAAGATTGGATACAGAATAGAAAATTGATTTCCCAGGAGTTCCTATCTGTTAGTTACATAATAATATAATTTCGTCACGCAACAACCTATTCAATTTCACATAATTAAATTTCTAACAATAATGGTGATGTAAGAAAAAACAACAACAAGGGTATATTTTTATAATTGTCTTCATAATATTTATTAAAAACATTAAATAAAAAACAAGTATATCTGATATTGTAAAATATGATAAATATAGAATTATTAACTATAAGCAGGTATATTTAAATAAGTTGCTTCTAATTATTTTTTTTCTTTGTCTACATTATGATGAGTCATCAGTGATGAAAATGGACAAGGTATTGGTAACGTAGTATTTGACTTTATATTCTTTTGAATAATTATTTTTTTATTTTAAGAAACATCATATTTCACAAAGTCTAATTCTCACGTTGATGTGATGTCTTTCTTAAGTAGGATATTTATGAGTATTTTTTAAGTTTTAAGACATGCTCTAATTCTAGTAAAACTCGAGACTCGTTTTATCTAAACTTTTTTTATTATAATTTGTTTTAAAAAAAATTATGTTTGTATCTCTCGAGTACCTGCATACTTATACCCATTACCTATACTTTATGCAAGTGTAAAATTAATAAATTAATAAATAAAAAATATTAATTAAAAGAATACTACAATGAATTAAAAATCAGTTTTGAATCATCAAAACATAATCATACAATTCTTAAACGCAACGCAATGTTCTCATTCTTAAATTTGATTAAAACTAATAATATTAAATAACAACTAATTCTTACACCTAAACATCATGTTTGGTACTCTTTTAATTAGATCTATTAAAAAAAATATACGTTGACACTAATTAGTTTATAATTATATATATATTATAAAGGTCTTCGTGAATCGATTTGTCCCACTAACTTAGTTTGACCTGAAATTAATTTTGACAAGTTTGAGTTTAGAATTTAAAAATAATATGTTTTGAGAATAGATATGGTTTTTTTTTTTTTTTAATTGAAAAGGTTAAATAAAGGCTATGTGCATAATTGAAGCTAACACCAAATTCTTTAATAGTGTGTTCGGATGAAGAATTTTACAAATTTAAGAAATTTTAAATTCTTGGTATTTGAATTACTTTAATTTCAATTTCTATCATTTTTAAAATATTTTGTTTGGATAAGTCAATTCAAATTTCTCAAATTTTAAATTGTTGAGTTGAATATGATAATTTAATTCCACCATGGTAAAATTTATTTTAAAAAAATATTTATATGTTAAGATTTTTAAATTAAATTTTTATAAAAATAAATATTAGCTAATTTTTAAATATTTAATAATTTTAAAATTTAATATTAGATAATATTTAATAATTTTAAAAATATTTTTGAATATTCAATAATTAAAAACATGAAGAGATAAGAGATAAGATAAAATATATAAGTGAAATAAGAAGAAAAAAAAATGAGGAATTTCAAATTCTTACTTTTTTGGGAGAATTTGAAATTCTTCTATTTCAAGAAATTTCACAAATGCTTGAATTTCAAATTCCTTATAAATTCTCCATCCAAACAAGGTATTTCACCTCAAAAAATTTGAAACCCTTCAAATAAATGAATTACTCCATTTAAATTCCTCATCCAAATACACTATAAAGAATTTTCAATTTAACCAGCTATGGCACCCTTGGGAGCAAATATAAGTTGTACTTTGGGTTGTTGTTATCCGGTGTAAAGTCTAATATTTTCTTGAAATTATATTTTTTAAAATACTTATTAATAAAACAAATTATTAATTTAATAGGTAATATTTTATATGATATGATGTTATATTTATATTGTTAGCATTATTTACTGTTTGGTCAGAGAATCCAACTCATCCCGTGGTGCATTGCGAGTTGGGTTAAGTTGACCTATCAACCTATTTAAAAGAAAATAAATTATTTTTATTTTAATTGTCTTAAACTTTTTTCAAGCTTTAAAATCAAACAATTTAAAAAGAGTTTTTTACTCAAATAATTATTTTTTAAAAAAATTACCCAAATAGCAACTGTGCAAATTTATTTCCCCAACTAGCATTATTTACTGTTTACGTTTGGAACGGGCCGTTCCGGATTAAAAAATAACACATGGAAAATGGATCAGAATGGGTCGTTCCAAAATCAAAATTAGTACATAAAAAGTGGAACTAGAACGGACCGTTCTGCATCCGGAATGGGCCGTTCTGGCCTATAAATAAATAAAAAAATTTGTTCGATTTTCACTTATCAAATACCTAAACTTAAAAACTAACATCAAATAATTAAATTTATAGAATATTAACTTTATAAATATATCTAAATAAATTTATTAAAATTCAATACAACAATAAAGATCATTGGTGGCAGAAACTGATTATGTTTTTCTCTAATGTCCATCTCTGTTTTAATCTTGTTGGACTTTGGCCGACCCTTGAAAGTTCGCTTGAGTTCTAGATTTGGCCATAAAGTTGGACCAGTGTAAGTAGGTCAATAATCTTCATGTCGGAGCTCTCTAAACTGTCTTTTGTATACCTTTTTGGAACTTGCCGCAATCATACCACATTTCATTTAGTCTTACTGTAAATCTCCCAGCGGGTCACACTTCTCTCGGATGTTGCGTTTCTTTCAACTTTGTGGCCAAATCCAGAACTCAAGAGAACTTTCAAGGATCTGCCAAAATCTAGCAGGATTAGAATAGAGATGGACATTAGAGAACAATATTATTTGTTGGAAACTTTTTTTAGGGATTGTTCTTTGACAGAGATTTTAGGGATTATTTTAATTCATATATTTCATTTTTTATTTATCATAATTATTTATGAATTAAATTTTCATAGTTTTAAAAATAAATTATTAATAGATAAAAAAAATTTGTACTACGATATAAATTATTTATCATAAATCTAAAATATAATTTATAAATTTAAAAATATTTATTTATATAAATTTTAAATATAATTTATATGTTCAAACATAATATTTATTTGTATATAAATTTTAGTTATTATAATAAATATTCAACTTGTTTATTGCACATTTTAAAATACTAATATAAAATAAACTTAAATAACATAAATCATGCATGCACACAATCCTATGATATTTTTTTAAAAAGTGAGTAGCAAATAGTTATCATAAGGAGGAATGATCGATAATTCACAGTTTTTCATAAAATTTGGGTTTATAGTTTAACTCAATCTTATAAAATTGTATAATATGTAAGATGAGGATTTTTAACCTTACAAAACTAAGGGATGTCAAACAAATCAACTCAACTCACCATATGGTTGGTTGCGATTTGAGTTAGACTTGTTTTTTTATTGGTCAGAGAATCCAACTCATCCCGTGGTGCATTGCGAGTTGGGTTAAGTTGACCTATCAACCTATTTAAAAGAAAATAAATTATTTTTATTTTAATTGTCTTAAACTTTTTTCAAGCTTTAAAATCAAACAATTTAAAAAGAGTTTTTTACTCAAATAATTATTTTTTAAAAAAATTACCCAAATAGCAACTGTGCAAATTTATTTCCCCAACTAGCATTATTTACTGTTTACGTTTGGAACGGGCCGTTCCGGATTAAAAAATAACACATGGAAATTATATATTTATTAATCTTATAATTTAACTATATATATATATATATACATATATGATATTATACTTATAAATCTGATTAATCCGGTCTTATTTTAGATATTTTATATCTCAATTGAGTTAAATCTAGGTTCAAATAAAGATATTCATGTATAACTCATTCCACGAACACTATAAAGTCAAAATAACAGAAATAAGTGTGGAATTACATCACTCTCATCTAGATTCATTGTAACGTTGAACAATGACATGGACAAGAATTTCGATGAAGTTTTCCAGCTACGGAATCGAAGAACAAAATAGGCTTTTAGGTATTTATAGACTAAATAAAACATTTATGAAAATAAAAAAAAAAATGCAACAGATAGATAGGAAAGACTCACAATGCACCAGTACCATTATATGATAACACTTTTGATGAATGTTTTTGGTTTTATTTTTTGATAGACATTTTTGCCCTTTAGTTATTATCTAATTCCAATTTTTTTAATGTAAACTATCCACTAATCCATCACTTTCCACTAGATAGATAATAAATATTTTTATTTTATTTTATTTAATAAATATATAGAAGCGGAGTGCAGAAGAAAACAAACTCAATGTTTTATGCCAACAATTGATTAAATTAAACTCCTAAAGTCACTTGAAAGTTAGGAACAAACTTGAAACTAGGAACCCTTCCACTGCTTGTTAAATAGAAATGAAATATATAAAATATGATTCAATCTTCTTTAAGCAAATGAGTAATATTTTGGCTTTTCACTACTGCAGATGATACCTGTAGCTGCAAATGATGTAGCCTTCTCAACACATTCTGTTCTGATAAGTGCAGCCATATTGTTTCAAGTTGCAATATATGAGGTATTTCTTTCCCTTAGTTGCCAAAAGCTCACATGCAACCTCATCTCAGATGGTGTGCAAATGTAAATGAGAGTCACATATTAGATAGAAATAAATATGTTGAGTAACATGTAAGTGGAAGAATGACGCCTCTTAAGATTTTGGATTAAGATGTAATGTTAAGTTCAATTGTGTGATTTGTTTATGACTCATTGTTAGAGTTATCCCCAATATTTAACCCCTTTTGTATTCTCAACACTCTCAAACATATATAGAACTAATGTTTTAAGTTTTAACATTTTGTCAATGCATTTTGTGCAGCGTGGAAATCAAACTTTCTCCAGAACTACAATAGGATTTGTTACTCTGGTGTGGATTACTGTTGCGGTTTGTTTCTTCATAGCATTACCTTCCCAATCTTGGCTTTGGCTAATCTCCATCTTCAAGTGAGATTTTCCTTCAACCATCATGTTATTTTGAGACAGAAAAATAGTCTAATAGTGAATTTAGTTAAAAGTTTTTTTACATTGTGATTCAATTATAGGTTATCATGTATAGAAAAATTGTCGAGTTTTATAATAATTACCTTTGAAGTCATATTTGGGACGATTTCTAATTATTTGATAGGATAAAATTGTTGTCTCTTCTTAGGCCTTGATGTTTTCTTATCAGGCTACTTTCTTTCTTCTTTTTCTTTTCCCTCTAAAATTGTGCTTCTCCCATATCTGAAATCTCAGTTTCCATACCCTGCTTCAAGGCTAAGACTCAACGTTCTAAGTTATCTGTCACCCTATGCCATTGAAAATCAATATTTGATTCTATTCCATTTCTAACTTATGAAATCTATAATTCGTGCAGCACAATGCAAGTGATTATGACAACTATCAAATATATTCCACAGGTCAGAATCCCTTTCTTCTAAGGCATCTCTAATTGAAATCTAAACAGATCCTTTTAGAATCTAAGATGGTTCCTCCCAAAATCTAACTGATGTGTTAATCAATGCAAATTATATGATATTGTCAATTATCTTTAAATTATATTGCTTTGTACAACTTCGAGTAATGGATGTTTACATTCTGTTCGCTGAGTTGCAAACTATGCATATAGATAAATTTTTTTGCAAATAAATGCACTAGCCAATGAGGGTGCCTCTATTTGAGTGCAAATGCGAGGAAGAAGTCTCACATTAGATACAAATCAATATGTTGAATATTTTATAAGTGAAAAGTACTGAAAAATCTAATGTTTTACGGTTTTGGATTAAATGTGATGTAAAATTCACTTATGTAATTGACTTGTGACCCATTGACAGAAAACTCCTAGGTAATAATGGTCACTGGTCAGTCCATTAAGCTTACAAGTATAATATAGTTAGTGATGGAATGGAAGACTTGAGAAAAGTTTATTGATAATTTGCTGATCATAACTAGGAAGAGATTCTCCTCTGATTCCTTTTCTGTACCTTCATCAATCTGATTACTTTGAGATTATAATACCCAAAGTTTACTTTGATCCTTCAAAATCATCAAAAAACATTAAAATGCTGAATAAATTTATAGATATTTATTGCTAGTAATTGATACCTTGACATCAGACAAATCATTGTGCTGTAAAATACAGGCAGTTATGAACTGCATGCGAAGGAGAACAGATGGATTTAGCATTGGTATGGTGTTCTTCGATTTCAGTGGAGGACTGTCAAACTATGCTCAGATGGTTATACAGTCAATTGATCAAAGTTTGTTTTCCTTTCCAAATTCACTATAGTAACATGCCAATTGACTTGATGCATCAATGCAAATATAATGACAGTTCTTAACTTTCTGTCTTTCTAGATTCTTGGGTGAATTTCTCAGGAAACATTGGCAAAGTGTTACTTTCCCTGGTATGTGTTAACCCCTTCTCTTTTTAGTCAGTTACAATTTTCACTTCAATAGTGATGATTTTTTAGTACAATGACATTTGAGAAATGACAGGGACATTCTATCTGACACTGTCTTTACTATTGGACAAAAATTACATTTTGAGAGATTCTACTACTAAATAAGATAGTCTCGTTAAGGAGAACCCTTGTTAGCATTACTCGTGATATTTTAAGAGCTTGCACAAAATTCTTAGGGAAGTTAAGGTCATGATTTGTTTAAGAAAATTAAAAACCACCCAAACCCTTTGGGAACCTTCCCTTAAAAGCTAGCTGATAAGGGAAGAGAACAAAGCCACTTAAGCACTTCATTTAAGATCTGTTTGAATACAAATTTAGAAATATTTTTTTAGAATTTTTATATTAAAAATAATTCTTTATTTTCAATAAATAAACTCTCCAAAAAAAAATTTAAACATGTATTCGAACAAACTTTTAGTATTTCATATTACTCAATATTAGACTTTGGCACCCTCTAATACCCAAACCCCAGTCAGAAATGCTTTTTTTCCCCTCCATTTCTATTTTCAGTAATAATTACAGAAATGCCAATCATTATACATATTTCTGAAGACAGGAAATGAATAAATAAATAAAAATAATCCCTTAAAATACAAGAGTTTATAATACTGATATTTTACATTGTGAATTAAATAGAAATCACCATTGATATGACCATTTAGTTATATAGTTTATTATAAAAGTCAACAAACTTACAATACATGTTATTTGAGATTAAACCACAACGTAGCTTATTTTTCGAATAACAAACCTTGATTTTCATGAACCAAAATATTTACACATGTACACATTTTTCAGGTCTCTATGTTCTTTGATATTGTTTTCATGAGTCAACATTTTTTGCTGTATCATTCAAAGATGGCAGCCTCAACACCTTCTTCTAAACTCAACAACACAGTCACAGAGCCCCTCATCATGTCTCCTGATCAGCCAGAGGTAGCAAATGTGCCTGTGGTTGAAAGGGTTTGAAGGAGAAGCTTGGCCACACTACATGTACATTCCAAAGAATAAAGCAATAGTTTTGCTATTTCACTTGTGTTTTAAGCATGCACAGGATGAAGTCCCTTTGTAGATGGCTGATCCAGTTTTACAGGTTTTCAGTCAGAAAAAATGGAGAAGGGAAAATGGAAAATTGATTTCTTTTGGTGTCACAAAAGCATCTCCAATGCTATTCAAACAAGCAACTTAGTTTATTTCTTTAAGTGTGTATATAACTACATACATATGGCTATTTAATTTTAAACAAATTACTTAATTTTCACTCCAATGTAAATTTATATGGGCAAGTTGCTTATTAGTTTATAATAATTTGTTTTTTATTTAATATTTCATATTCTTTCTTCTATATGAACACACATGATGCTAAGCAATCCATAAGAAATAGTTTATATAAGAAATTGATCACTAATTTTAAGTTACATGTGAACTAAAATAATATTTTATTGTTAAAAAACCTACAAGTAACTCCCATTGAATATGTTTTTAGTGTTCTTTGGAAATTGATCACGGATGTAATTTTTCACATCAGAGTCAATGCTATATAGTTATAAATTTTGCACTTTTCACACCATGAATGTGATTCTTTTGGCTGTAGAACGTGTTTTCAAAACAAGGTATTAAGTATAAATCATAAGAGATTATTTTGCACTTATGATTATTTTTAAAATGATGATGAAAACTCCTTTATTTTCTTTCTCGAGAGACATGAACTAGTTGTAACACTCAACAAAGTTCTACATTTTTTTATAATAAATATATAAATCATAAGAGATTATATATTTTTCATCATCATTTTAAATAAATGAACTTCTCACGAGCAGTTAATACTGAGCTTATAAAGCTTGGTCATTCAAGTCAAATTTTAAACTTAAGTTGGTTTGTTTAATTAAAAAACAAAATTAAATAAAAATTTAATTAGTTGAACTCGGATAGTTGCCAAATAATTCATCTCATTTGCAGCCCTATTTGAGACTACATAATTTTAGACTATACAACAATTTTCCCATAAAGTGAGATATATATCCATGCATTAATTGAGATGTGTGTAAATGCAATTCAAATACACCAAGAAATGCAGTTTTTCTTCCCTTCTTGTTAAAAAGAAAATATGCAACACAACTGTTTTAAATATGAATAAAAAAAACACGTTTTAAATGAACAATACCATCTTGAACTTGACTGAAATTAATTCTAGGTACAATTTATTTTCTAGTTCTTTAGTCAATAAATTCCTCGTCATTGTACAGATATTGATGAAGATAATTAATATGCTATTATTGGAGCACAAGACACCGATGACTAGGATCTTGTACTACAAAATTCACTATTCATAGCTGAACTTCCCACTGTGTGAGTGCGTAGATTTTGTTTAAGTCAACACAGTAACACGTAGGAGACACTATATATATATATATATATATATATATATATATATATAAACTTCGTGTTTGGGGTGTTCTTCTTGTTCAAGAAATTATTAACAATGTCTTCTTGGCATTCTACTCCACTTCATGGGTCATATCAAATTGTGGGTTAGTTTGCATTTGTTTGCTGATCTTTCGGTTTCTACCCACAAGTCATCTTGAACTTTCGTAGGAAAAGGTAATATTTTTTTTATATATAATTATGATATTAATATAAAATATTAATTAACTTTATCGATAATTAATTTTTATATAAGAATTTGAGTAATCATTTTTAATGAGATATTTTTCTTAATTACATTTTTTTTTATTCATAACATTTAAATCTGAAACTTTATTTGAGGAGATTAAATTCAGTTTCATTTAGACCAACAATTTAATAGTAATACATTGATACTAGCAACTAATTAACTAATTTAATTTGTTAAGTCTTAGATAAACTTAATGAAACAAACGTCGTATTTGATATACAACGAGTCTCTATACCTAAGCTCCACTGTTCAGAAGCAATACAAAGACAAATACGGTCACAACGAGGTTTGTTCTGTTTCTAGTTATTCATGTGAAGGCCACAATTGAATGACATAATTGTTTCCATTTGGTAGAATTCGTTGCTACCATATACTTTAAATTTGGGGTAAAATATCAAGTGTATCTCATTAGCACTTTAGTTCTTAGAAGTATAAATTTTTTTTAAAAAATCTTAAAAATATAAATCCTTATCCACTTTAGTAAAAAATTTAAAAAATCATGTGACTTAAATGATAATATTAATATATATTTAAGGAGTAAAATGATAATAAATAATTATATTTAAGGATTTAAATGAAATAATTAAAAAAAATTAAATTATTATAAATTTTCTTACTTTCAAAAATTAAAGAGAGAGAAAAAAAAGGCAATTGCAAAAGTGGAAGGAAAAGGACAATCAATTTCTGCATTAAATGATTTCGTGTGGGGGACCACGTGATTATAAAAGGGAAATTGCTAAAAAAGAATGGGTGTAGATTGTAGAAAATTTTTTCCATAATAATATTTTTAAAAACAAAATAAATACACAAATGGACCCCTGTATTTTATTTAGCCCCTGTTTGTTTAAGGGGATTTATTGTTCACGATGAACAAAAGGTGAAGAAAGTTCACGTTTATTTTTGCTGATTTGCACCGAAAGAAAAGCGAAGAAAAGCGGGAGAACGTCCTCACGAAGTTGTGAAGAAAAGAGATGAAAGTCACGTAAAAAATAAGAAAACTCGATAATACCCCTGTCCTAAAGGCTGAAAATAGATGAAGAATGGAGGCACATAATCGATTATGCATGGCACATAATCGATTATGGACTGGCATAATCGATTATGCCAGTCCATAATCGATTATGTGGCATACATAATCGATTATGGTAGCATATTTTTGCTTCTAGGCAAGCCCAGAACGGGCCGTTCCAAACTACTAAAACAAGGGTAATTTAGTATCTTAGAACGGATCGTTCCCAAACTGGAACGGGTTGTTCCAAACTACTAAATTGGCTTAAAAATCCTAGTTGAGAACGGGTCGTTCCAAATTGGCTGTTATGGGTAAAAACAATGTTAGAAAATATAATTATTATAATATATTTTGTTATTATTATTTATTATTATAAATATTATTATTATTATCATTATTATTATTATTTATTATAATTACTATCATTATTATTTATTATGATTCTTATTATTATTTTAATATTTATTATTATTATTATCATTATTTATTATTTTTTTAATAAATTATATTTTATTGTAATTATTATTATTTACAATAAATAATATTCTACTCATTTTTAATCCAAGGGTAAAAGTGTAAATTACATATTCATCTATTAAATTTTTAATTTTTATCTATCACATCAATCAATTTGTACACAAATTCTCACAAACGTTCCACTCACTTTTCACTATCTTTCCCTTAATCCAAGCAACCTCACTTTTCACTCTCTTTCTCTTCAAATCTTTCCTTTTCCACTCCCCCAAATCCATCATTCAATCCAAACACAACCTTACAGAAGTAGAACATATTACTGTGTAGGTTCAGAATTCGATCTTTGGATATCCGAATTCTAATATGTTACAGTGTCATCGGCAATGCAATTTGGCTTCGGCAATGCAATTTGGCTGTTGGAATTTGGTTCTCGGAGAGTCGAATTCCGAACAGCCTTCAACCCTTTTTTTTCGTTTTTATTAAATTATTTTTTTTAAAATATAGAATTTTAAAATTTAAAATAATTTAAAAAATATGTAATAATAAAATAAAATTTATTTATTAATATAATTAATTAAAAATGTAATAAGTTATAATGTTATTAAACAATAATTTTAATAAGTTATATTTATAATAAATTAAAAATTTAATAAATAATAGTTGTAATAAGTTATTTTTATAATAAATAAGAAATTTAATAAATAATAATTTAATAAAATGCAGAAGGTTTTGAAGTTTTATTGTTGTAGTTAGTTCCTGCCAACATTGATTTTTATTGTTGTAATGAGTTTTAAGTCTCATAAATGTAATTTTCATTGAAAATATAATTAATATATTTATTACACACTAAATTATTATATTTACTAATTATAAAAATATTTAAATTATATATTTTATTAATATTTTTAAACACACACATATAAATATAACTTATTATACTTATTATTTATTACATTTCTAATTTATCATAAATATAACTTATTAAAATTTTTATTTATTAATTTTCTAATTTATTATAAAAATAACATTATAATTATTATTTTTAAAATTTGAATTTTATTATAAATAATACTTATTAAATTATTATTTTTTAACATTATAACTTATTACATTTTTCATTTATTATAATAAACATTTAAATTAATTTTTTTAAAATATCAACTAATAAATTTTATTAAATTATTACATATTTTTTAAATTGTTTTAAAAATTTAAATTTCTTTTTAATAAAAAACACAATTTAATATAAACAAAAAAATGGGCTGCCTGGAATTCAGTTCCCGAGGAACCGAATTCCGGCAACCAAATTGCACCGTCGTTGACATTACAGCAGGCCAAAATTTGGATCCACGGGGACCAAATTTTGAACCTACACAGTAATGTGTTCTGTGTAAGAACCCACTCACGAGCCCCTCTTTCTCATTTTCCCTTCCTTCCTTCCATTACTCTATTCCCATTCCTTTCCTTGGTTGAAACCTAGGTGTTGGTGTTTGATTTGGGAAGGTGGAGTTGTTGAATCAATGAGAGCAATAAGGTTAGTCTTCCTCCCCGAAGCAATTTTATTTCTTTTCTTCTTCTTCTCTTTCCTAGGGGCTCAAAATCAGAATTCTTCTTCCTCCGAAGTAAGGGAAGCTAGAATTTGTTGATTTTGGGACAAAATGTTGTATTATTGCAACAAATTGCTGGTTGCATGTTGATTAAATTGGAATTTGTGGAATTAGAAAGAGGAGTTTTGAGTTGTTTGAAGAATGTGATGATTTGGGGTTGGTTTTTGAATTTTGCATGTTAGATTTCTTGGATTTTTTGTGTTGCATGTGATTAGTAGTGATGTATTTGTGTAGTTGTGTGTTTTGGGGCTCCTTTGATTGCAAATTTTGATAAATTTTGGGTGAAAAACATGTGGGAAGCCATGGAAGGGGAAAAAGCTTTGCATTTCGTGTTGGAGTGCTGAACCGCTGACCCGACACTGTAGCTGTGTGAAAAAATTAGGTGGCAGAGACTTGGAGCTGTAGCTCCAAGTTGGCATTGTAGCCTTAGGAGAAATTGTTTTGGCAGAGTTTGAGCCGCAACTCCAAGTTAGGCACTACAGCCCCAGGACGAAACGAAACTGGCAGAAAGTCTAAGATGGAGCGCTGAATTGAGTGCTGCATGGTCTTAGGTTC